TACACATTTGTCAGATCTGCTAATTCAAACAAGCATAATTGTGTGGTTTCACAACCTCTGAAAATCATGGCAAAGAGACTCAGTTTGTTGTGTTCCATATATTTTTACGAGTGACAATCCCAGCATTCATACAAAGGCTCTGAATCTGCTGACTGAAGTAAATAAAGGCTAATTGTGCACAGCTGCATGTATCAGCTATGTTTCTGCTGCCATTATGACATGTTTGTGGTGAGGTATGAATTAAGACAATGTTTGTACGGTCCTTTCGTGTATGTTTATTTGTTCTTTTCAATAAGACGTAAACCAATTGGTGGCAGCAGACTTGTAGACATGAGGCTGCACTTCCTCCCATTGTTTAAAACGGTCAGATCGAAAAGTAGTCGAGGTCAAAATTGGAAGAAAAGGAACATCTGTTCAATTTGTAGACAGGCGTACACATATCTGTGTTTTGCTACAATGGAATTCATACAAGTAAATGTATTCGGTCCTCAATAAATAGGGTGTGACTTGTTCTGTTTGTACAGAACTATAATGGATTAGCCTTATAATGCGTAATGACACTTTAATCACGCTTAACAGCACTTATGTATCATACTTTCATTCATATTGACATACAGGGCCATAACCACCATAGACATTGAAGAGGACACTTCATCTCAGCGTTCAGATTAGTTCAGATTTGGTTGATTCTTAAGTTGACGGTTATTTCTTCAGTGTTTATGTCCCAAGGGTTAAGTTTTTGAAACTTTTTGTTTAATGAAGATCACTTTTACAATATCTATGAAATGTCTTAGTCATTCAGATGTGCTTTATGTGTAGTTTTTAGTGCTTTACTATTGTCACAAACCCAAACACTTCATCTTAAACTATAAAAAACATTATATGAATTATTATATGTATACATATTTGCACAAATTTTGACAAATGTCTCACAGTTGATATTCAAACAACCAACAATTTTGTCCCGATAACATTTTTTCAGAAGTTAGTGTAGTTGGTTACCAAATAATATTCTCTGTGGTTGAGAATCTGAAACTAGAGGCGAAAAATCAAGGTAAATATCACCTATGAATATGCATAACTATCATCTGTTTAGGATACATGATATAGCTATGAAATTACCAAAACAATGAGTTACCAATTTTATTTCTAAAATGTTTCAAATGTCACTTCACCCTGGACTGCTATTTAAAAAAAATGGAAATGTTTCATTATTTTATTAGCAAACAAATTAAACTAAAGTGATTTATATTCCCCTTACTTGAAATAAAATAAACATTAAATGAAATAAAATAAAATATAAACTTTTAAGCTTTTAAATTGATGTAACTATATAAGGTTAAAATATGTTGATATTTAAACTTAAAAATGAAATTAAAATAATAATAGTAATAATGTAAAATAATAAGTAGTGTCTGATAAAATGACATGTTAAAACGGCCATAGGGACAAATGTGGCCATAGAAACTATTACGTTTGTTGCCCCAATCCTGAATATGTGGTTACATTCTTGCTGAGATACGATGAGTTTCGGAGCTGTCAAATTAAATATGTGTTGTTGGACATTTTAGCCCATTTCTCCAACTACAACGTATCTCTTACCAACATGTCCCTCATAACATGCCCACTCTGAATCTTTAAGAGGTGTCTCCTACTGCATTTTTTTCTCCCCTGTTTCTTCCTTCTCTCTTTTCTTAAAGAGTGACTCATTATATTTAACCTACTTACTGAGCTCCACCTATAGCTGCTCTCTTTTGAACGTCTCGGGTCCGCAAACTCAGAATGCAGTGAAGGGAAAACATGGTGGTCTTCAAGTCAAGTCCATCAAACAGAATTGATGAAACTGGCAACAGAAAACAAAAATTGGCCCTCACTCAGCGAAGTGCGCTGACCCATAGCAGGGAGGCTAATGTAACACGTGAACAACACGAGAAGGTCCTGCACTGGAATGTCGCTCTGTGTACATGTTTGGTATGAGTTGCCGACTTTCCGTCACGGTCCATGCATGTTTTTGAAGTCAAGAAGACTGCTCAAATTCTACCTTTTGAACACTGTTTTGTGTATATTTTTAGAGTTCATCAGAATGAAGCTGATCATTATGCAACGTTGAATGTGCTCATTCAGCATTTCAGGTGTTTGTTGATGTTATTGCAAACTTAGAATGTTCCAATGTTTTCATATTTGTTGAGGCGGGTCTCTAATGAATGCTCTTTGATATGGTATTAGCTGACAGAAGCTGCAAACGATTCCCCAGGAGGCACTTGTGTCATGTGCTTCTGTGGCCTCCACTCTTCTCTCAGCCTCTCTCTGTCTGTCCCCAGGCCAACAAACCTTGTGCTGGAAACTTCAGATCCCATAATTACAAAGCTGACAGTTAACACACAGGTAAGCTACCCTTACTGATGGGCAAAGAATGCAAACATCTTCTGATGGAGATGGAGGCCATGCTGCAGGTGTAGAAGTTACTCCTCCATATCTCCTGGGGCTTGTGAGGGCATGAGATCATCCCAACACAAAACTGAGAGGTATAGGTTTGGTAGAGTGATCCATAGAATAACTATTTTTGGTTCCCCAAAGAACCATTCAGTTAACAGTTCTTAAAAGACCTTTTTTTTTCTTGGTGCGAAGAACATTTTATTAATTAAAAAAAACCCTTTGCACTATGATGAACCTTTTGTCAAGTGGAAAGTTTCCATGGATGTTAGTTTTTCATGGAACCATAGATGCCAATAAAGTGCCTTTATTTTTAAGAGTGGAGGTTCTTTATATGTTCTTTAAACTAGAAACTAGAAAAACAAAAGATATTCTATGGTATTATTGTGAAAACCCCCTTTTGTAACCTTTATTTTTAAGAGAAGCAGAGAAATACTTTCCACATGAATTAATTAAAATCTTAGGATTTTGCAGGTTAATAAATAATTTGCTCACTTTCTCACACAGAGCAATCACAGTACTTGAAATACAGGTCTGGGTTGTGCAGGTGATTTGAGGTTGATAAGTTATCTGATGGTGCTGCCACTCTAAGAGGGAGATGGCAGTTTCGTATCTTTTTCAGGTTCATATTTTTCACTAATAGCAGGTCAAGAGAAGTAAAAGTATGATCTCTTAAGCTGACAAAAAAATTACATTTTTAGGATACACCATAAAGGCTGCCTGGAGTGGCTTTCCAACAGTATCCTGACAATTGAAATATATCCTTTAACAGCACATGATCAAAAACCAAAGATAAACCTTCTTTAACTTTTTTTTTTTTTAAGTTTGAAGTTTATGATCGAATTTTAGCTAACTCCAGAAGATGTATTATTATGAAAGAAACAACGGAAAAGTAAAATAATAAAACTGTGTGCGTTATAGTTTTAATATTAATTAATTAATTTAGTTTTGTGAAGTCTATCCAAAACAGGTGTTCTATTTCCTCGACTAAATTTGCTATGAGTAATCTTTTAACTTACCACATTTATAAAAACTGATCGTGTTGTCATTTCATAGCAATATCAAATTCAATAGTGTTTATGGTTGATATGGTGGAAGGTGGAAGTACAGAGTACTATAATCATTAAATTGAACAAAGCAGGATATTATGAAACTCTTGTTTTCATCAAAGCACATAACACCCATAAATTATACAACTTAAATATGATACAGATAACTGTGTATGGAACTCAGAGAAACTGTGTGGGTGTGAATGAAAACAACGCTGCTCATTGAAGCAAACGTAGCCCGCCCTCTCTACTTTCTCATTGGTTAAAAGGCACGTCGCTCTTACAAATTCGAGTTGCCATTGGTCTCCGCAGTGCTGTCGGGCGCGTTCTTTGATGACGCAGCGGCTTGACCTTCTTGTTCTAAAAGATGATTGGGTAATCTTCGAGTCGAACATATACTTCTGGGTTTCTATTGGTTAGTTTAGACACGCCTGTCCTCCATTGCTCAAATCTCACATCTGAAGGTTAAAGTCTGTCTCTCTCTCCATCACACCGTGTTTTTAAGTTTGAAGTTTATGATCGAATTTTAGCTAACTCCAGAAGATGTATTATTATGAAAGAAACAACGGAAAAGTAGTAAGATAATGAACAGGAGATAACATGTTGTCTGAACATACATTTTTAGAGACCTTCATGATATAAATACCACTAACAGAACAGCTCATGTTTCCCTTTTCCCTCTTGGGCCTTGAATTATGATTCCATTAGAGCAGATCACAAGTGTTTAGGTGTGGGACAGTATCAAAAGCTTAGACCACCACCTTGTGGCTTCACAGGGACATGACATACGAAACATACGAATTTCTTTTTTTTCTTCTCAAAAATTAAGGTTTAGCTTTTGCTAAAGGTCAGTTTTGTAAAACACAGTGCACAAAGAGACTGTATTTTGTGCTGTTCTCGTTGTCTGGATACACAAATAGCATTTTACATAACGTATAAAGCACATAACACCCATAAATTACACAATTTAAATATGATCCCGATAACTGTGTATGGAACTCAGATAAACTGTGTGGGTGTGAATGAAAACAACGCTGCCCATTGAAGCAAACGTAGCCCGCCCTCTCTACTTTCTCATTGATTAAAAGGCACGTCGCTCTTACAAATTCGAGTTGCCATTGGTCTCCGCAGTGCTGTCGGGCGCGTTCTTTGATGACGCAGCGGCTTGACCTTCTTGTTCTAAAAGATGATTGGGTAATCTTCGAGTCGAACACCCATAAATTATACAACTTAAATATGATACAGATAACTGTGTATGGAACTCAGAGAAACTGTGTGGGTGTGAATGAAAACAACGCTGCTCATTGAAGCAAACGTAGCCCGCCCTCTCTACTTTCTCATTGGTTAAAAGGCACGTCGCTCTTACAAATTCGAGTTGCCATTGGTCTCCGCAGTGCTGTCGGGCGCGTTCTTTGATGACGCAGCGGCTTGACCTTCTTGTTCTAAAAGATGATTGGGTAATCTTCGAGTCGAACATATACTTCTGGGTTTCTATTGGTTAGTTTAGACACGCCTGTCCTCCATTGCTCAAATCTCACATCTGAAGGTTAAAGTCTGTCTCTCTCTCCATCACACCGTGCTTCAGTCCAGCGGTACTCGCGTATCTCTCTCCCTCTTCTTGCTCATAATTTGTAGAAATATTAACACAATATCATGTCGATATTTGGTGAAGTCCCGCAGGCTGCTCCTGTCGCAGTGTTTAAACTGACAGCAGATTTCCGAGAAGATCAAAATGCCAGCAAGGTGAATCTGGGAGTCGGAGGTGAGAGATGGGCTTCATATAAACACACGCATTTACATATCAAAATATACGAATATGAATGTCAGTGTTTGTCAGTTTATGCATGCTTTGGCCATGCACACACAGACAGTGTTGGGGGTAATATATTACAAGTAACGCAACTGCTGAAGTGTGTTGAAATTTCGGACGTGTGTTTTAAATTTACGGACGTAAATTTACTTTCCCTTCAGCCTGAGGCTTATTCATTTCACTTCTGGTGTGAAAAGGCTTTTATATTTGCCAAAAATAGAACTTTTTTATTTTAAAAACAAACAAGCAAGCCCTGTCCAGATTTAAAAAGTAGCGCAAAAGTAACGTAACGCATTACTTTCCATAAAAAAGTAACTAAGTAATGTAATTAGTTACTTTTGTTATGGAGTAATGCAATATTGTAATGCATTACTTTTAAAAGTAACTTTCCCCAACACTGCACACAGATATCCTCTTTCTCTGACAACAGTAGGCCTCATATCAATAATAAGAATCGAACACATGTCTGCTCTGCTTTACTGCAGCTCAGTGCATTTAAAAATGTCTATTTTATAAATTAGAGTCAAATAAGGCCTGTTTCGGGTTATTTATTGTAGTGGTGGCCACGGCACCTGATTAGAGATCAGCAGTTAGTTTTCTGAAATCCAATAATATCATCAGTAACATGAGATAATTCATATATGATTTGAAATGAAACTATTGCATACTACTGCACGTATATCGCTTTAGACTATATGCAAATCATGCACACATATTGAATTAAGTTTTTTGTATAATATTTTCTATTTATATTGGTATTGTAAATATGTGTGTCTATTCTCAAAGTCTTTTGATCTTGAAGCTTACATTCTTGAAATTGGTTTTGTAGGCTAATATAGACTTGGTCTGAGTCTAAAGAACATTTGAACTCTTTTAATAATGTTTAAAATGCATTGACTGACAATGTTAACAAGTCATATTATATCTGACCTTTTTCAAAGTAGCTCTACACACTTTTGAGGTCCATCCTGGGATGCTTTTAAGCAGTATTTAAAGAGTTCACATGTATGCTTCTTTAAATACTCTAAAATATAGACAATGTATTATAAAGAATGAACTTATGTGTTCAAACGTTTAACTTGTGTTGTATCACATTAAACTGTACAGTTATCTGACATTAAACTAAAGTCATGGCATTTAGCTCCAGAGGCATCTAGGGTTTCTAAATATATTGAAGGATAAAGTTACTCTTTCGGCATTGGTCGTTTCTATTGGAGACCAGGCCCTTGTGCAGTGCTGTTAGCTGGGGATGAATAGATTGTGTTATGTCAACAGTATTATTGTGCAGAAGCAGTCATCATGTGTCGTGTAGTTATTCCTGATTCCGTTTAGAGAGCTTGACCTCGGAGGATTCGGGGAGGATTATCTTTATCTTCCGCTTTTCCTGAAACCCTGCTGACACCATGACTCCAGAGGTTTTGAGACACGAGCAAAAGCTGAAAGTCACATCTCTAAATTTCCCTGAGTCATGATTGTGTGTGGACTGTTTTTGAACACCTCCCCCTGGCCTGTGGTCTTTCCTCAGATTGAAATGATTATCCCTCTTGAACAACCCAGAGCACTGATTTCATATGCTTTCTAAAGACATTTACAGCCTCTAACTACAGCTTGTCATACTTCTGCAGAAGGTGACTACAATATGCTATACTTTTTTAAAAGGCTTATAATTATACTAAACCAGATATGTTGCACCATAAATTGCTCATTGATCTAATATTTGATGCATTCAGACATGCGGATTTATTAAAGTCATTGCTCTGCTTCAAAATCTTTTGATTCCATAACTTTACCAGTTTATGTACAGGACAGAATTTATTTGGATACATTTTGTTCTGTATTTGCGTAGAATTTTTAATTCAAGTATTGCATCAGAACATGAGCAGTACACGTTAGTGTCGAATAAGCTAATTTTGCTCTTGGGTAAAAGTTCACCGATAAATCCTGATCATAGACAGCCCTGATAAAAAGGAACAGTTACACATAACAGATATTGAGTAGATAGGAATTCAGGATGCTGTAATGTACACTATTTAAAAGTTTGGGGTCTGACTCTGTTATTGTCTTTTTGCATTACTGACAAACTATTTTCCTGTTTAACACTGTAAAGCTGCTTTGACACAACCATTATTGTATAAAGCGCTATACAAATAAAGGTGACTTGACTTGTAAGATTTTTTTTATGTTTTTGAAAGAAGTCTGTCATGTTCATCAAGGCTGCATTTATTTTAATTAAAGATGTAGTAAAAACAGTTTGTGAAACATTGTAATTTAAAATAACTTTTTTTTTATTGTAATAGTATGTTAAAATGCTATTTGTTTCCATAACGGCAAAGCTGAATTTTCAGCAGCCATTACTCCAGTCTTCAGTGTCACATTATGTTTTTGGCAATTTTTTGATGAATAGAAAATTCAAAACTTTTGAGTGGTAGTGTACAAATCAGAGTTTTGCCTTTGTATGTTGAAGTAGTATGGTTGAAAGGTTCATCCTCTTCCTCTCCTTAGCCTACAGGACAGATGAAGGTCAGCCCTGGGTTCTCCCCGTGGTGAGAAAAGTGGAGAAGATGATCGCTGATGACCATAGTTTGAACCACGAGTACCTGCCCATTCTAGGCCTGCCAGAGTTTCGCTCCAGTGCATCTAAGATCGCTCTGGGTGAAGACAGTCCTGCCATCAAGGACAATCGGGTCAGATGAGATGCTTAAAATCCTGTTTTGATCACCTATATCAATAACAGTTTTTTTATTTATTTTTAATTTATAAAAAAAAATAAAAAAAAGTGTTATTGATAATTTATTCCTGTGATGCAAAGCTGAATTTTCAGCATCATTACTCCTGTCTTCAGTGTCACATTATCCTTCAGAAATCATTCCATTTTCAGATTTGGCAAAAAGTTTATTTTAGACCTTGTTACACATTTTGAACTGGTATCATTCTAATGTAGAGGTTTTTGTTGTTGTTGTTTTTTGTATTGCAGGTAGGAGCTGTGCAGTGTTTAGGTGGCACTGGTGCTCTGAAGATCGGAGCCGAGTTTCTTCGCCGTTGGTACAATGGAACCGACAACACAAAAACTCCAATTTATGTGTCTGCACCAACATGGGGTGAGCATAAGATCTAATTACACAAGGAAAATACTGTAAAAAAATGTCATTCTAATATTTAATGGACTACAGTATAAAATATATGTTAAAGTTTTGCCTCAAAAGAGCTTAACTATTTTCATGCTGACCTTAAGTTCAGTAATTAACTTTTTATATATATATATATTGTTGGGTCAAATGCTAAAAGTGTTCAGTTCAGTTTGTGGTCTTTCATTCTAGAGAACCACAATGCTGTTTTCTCTAACGCTGGATTTGAGGACATCCGTCCATACAAATACTGGGATGCAGGGAAGCGTGGACTCGATCGGGAAGGTTTTCTGGGTGACCTGGAGGTTAGTAGCGATTTCGAAATTCCATTGTCTTTAACGAAAGGAGCTGTTCATAGTTACTTATTTATCAGTAATTGATAAATGTTATCTAAAAACCTTTGATTGTGTGCAAAAGGAATTGTTGAGCTTGACAGATTTTTTTTTTCTGTTGGGCTCAATCGGCATTAAAAAAAATCTAGTTTGATTTTTGGCCCTTCGTATTAAAAGTTTGAACACCTCTGCTAGATACAGTCCATTTGACACTATGTCTTTCCTGTCAGAGTGCACCTGATCACTCCATCTTTGTGCTGCATGCCTGCGCTCACAACCCCACCGGCACAGATCCCACCCAGGACCAGTGGAAGCAGATCTCTGATGTCATGAAGGTGAGACCATTACAACAACCCCACATCATCTGACTAAGATTAGAACATTGAAGCCCATGATACAAAAATGGATCCTAATTGCACGTTATAAGACATTTAAGCACAATGTGCAATTACAACCTACTGTTGTCTAAATTGAAACTCTTTGCAGTTTTATAAATAGTGAGTTAACTGTTGCATAATTATCTAAAGCCAACATATATCAAAATTGTAATAGAGTTATACAGGGCACAGAATGTTACTGAAAAGTTGATCAGTGGAGCTGTAATTCCCTAAAATGCATTTTTGTATGGCAGAGATGTTGTTATCTGGCTTTTTTCTTCTCTCAACTCTCTCTTCAGCGAAAGAGTCTGTTTACCTTCTTTGATTCAGCCTATCAGGGTTTCGCCTCAGGAAATTTAGATAAGGACGCCTGGGCTGTCCGCTACTTTGTGTCACAGGGTTTTGAATTGTTCTGTGCCCAGTCGTTCTCAAAGAACTTCGGTCTGTACAGTAAGTGGTTCCAGTGGAGTTTATGTTAGTTGTTAGAGATTACATTTTAATGCCTTGTACTATGTCCTTGTTCAGAACCATTTGATTGTAAAGAATAATCTGACTCCACAGATGAGAGAGTGGGGAACCTGACTGTTGTAGCCAAAGACCAAGACAATTTGAACCGTGTACTGTCTCAAATGGAGAAGATCGTTCGCATCACCTGGTCCAACCCTCCATCCCAGGGTGCACGTCTGGTTGCCATCACACTCAACACCCCTGAACTCTTTGCTGAATGGTAAATGCAGTTAAAATCTTAAATCTAATTTTATGATTTTGGTTCAACAACAAAACATTAATACATTTGATATTGTGTCTCAATCTCAATTTCATCACTGTGATGTAAAAAATCAATTGCATATTAAATTGTAAACTACAGTATTTATAGTATTCAGTGTACTGCCCTTAATTTATGATGATTTAAAAAAGCTGATACATTTATACACACACACTTTTATATATATATATATATATATATATATACATATATCTTGTTTTGTGAAAAAAAACTGCCAAAAGAAAAAAATGTGGGATGAAATGTGACCTGGATGTGTTCTTAAAATTAAAAATGTACTTAAACTTAAAATTTTGTGAGATTCACCAGTGTATATGTATGTTTTGTTTAAGGGTTATTTATAGTCTGGCATTTTTCCATCTTTCTACAGGAAGGACAATGTGAAGACCATGGCAGACAGAGTCCTGCTCATGCGTGCTCAGCTGAAGGAAAAACTCAAAGCACTCGGAACTCCAGGAACCTGGGAACACATCACTGAGCAGATCGGCATGTTCAGCTTCACCGGACTCAACCGTAAGCATCTCCTTCTAGCGCTTTCACACTTCGTTCATCCATGTGTCTCACCACTGGAAACATCTGTTCTAACACGGCAGTCAGTCATGCTTTATCTACTGTTCCTTACACATTACTGCAGCTGGAGATACATAGTTGCTGTGGTTTCAAATCTTTATTTAAAGCCTTTTAGGTTATAGGCTTTAAAAGTGAGAGTAATAGTTAATGCTAGTACTTAGAAAATAGTTCAAAGTTAGTACTGAGACGATAGCTAGAATGTAAGAAATGTGAAAATAGAAGTTAGAACTGAGAAAATAGTTAAAAAATAGTACTGAGAAAATGGTTAAAAGCTAGTACTGTGGAAATAGTTAAAAGCTAGTACTAGGAAAAATCTATTTGTTTGGAGTTGCCACTATTTGATATTTTGTTAATTGATAGTTTGATATTTTGTTAATTAATGCAGTGTATGTGTTTCAAATTCACATAAAATGTCACTCAACCATTTGAAAATGTTGTTTTCTGTTTTACAGCTAAGCAGGTGGAGTACATGGTGAAAGAGAAGCACATTTATCTAATGGCGAGCGGGCGCATCAACATGTGTGGCCTCACCACCAAGAACATTGACTATGTGGCCGAGTCCATTCATGAGGCTGTCACTACAGTCTAATAAGCACCTTTACCACACTTCCTGTTTGTGTGTGTGTGTGTCCACAGGAACATAGACACGCACAGACACACACACTGATACACCCCTTCACTCACCAGCTTTCCTGGTCTAATTTAGTCATCAGCATTTCAACATTCTGTTTTAACTTGTAATTATAACGCAATGAAACAGTCCCGGAAGATATATATATATTTCCCTTCACCCTTCTCCTGTGTTTTCAGAAGAGAGTATGTTTAAATATTATCCGTGGAGTTCATGCAAATCTTGTTTCTATGAATAAGCACTTTGTGGTGGGATTTACAGTCAACCAAACAACTCTCTGGATTTCATTAACCTGAAGGTCCAGCTTGACTGATTTTATGATCTTTCATGGTCTTAGATTAAATTCACACAGGTTAGTGTGACTGAATCAGAGTTGTAGACAACCTTTGAGTTAGTGGGGTGAAATGGGTGGAACCTAGCCTTTATTAAATTAACTCGTCGAATTTTATCGCCATGTGTCTGAAAATTTCATTGTATTGAGTGCTGAACTGAAGGACAGTGTGCATGTTTCATGATCGATGTGTCTGTATTCTTAAAACATCCACACAGAAACAACTCTAGAACTTGAATGAATGGAGGCATTAGATTGTGTTTTATTGTCAATTCCTGATGCTCTTACCTCAAATTAAATGGCTTGAAGAAACATTTTACCTTGAAAACTTATTGTGACTAGTTAAAACAATGGAAGAAGAAACCTGGTATTGTGGTTTGTGAAGAGGTGCATTTTGGGATATTGGATATCTGACAGCTGAAGGAGAGTGAATTATACAGAAAAGTGATTTGGGGGTTGAATATTCTTTTAAGCTTTTCGTGTTTGATGTTCTGGAAATTCTGGGTTGTGAAGAGCCCAGGCATTGTTTTGCACTTTATTTTCTGGTGTCTTTTTATTCTGGTCCATCGCTTTTACTGCTGTGTTTTTGTGTTCAGGCTCATTTGTGCACTGCAGGACCGTTTAATGAATGTGCAGACATTAGTCCAAGTAATACTACTCTCCCACCCAGCTTAGTCGCAAAAGATCAATCCTCTAGGAGTATAAAAACTCTTTGAGCACAAATATACTAATCAAAGTGCATTGAAATAAAAGAAGTAAACAAGCATGTTTTCTGGTGTGTTTTATTAGCACAAGTCACATGTCCCAGTGACTAGTGATAGTATATTAACAGTATCATTCAGAAGATTGGAGTATTATTAAGAAATTAATACTTGTTTTCAATGTGGGTGCATTAACTTGATTTCAAAAGTGAAATTACAGTGATAATTTTTTATTGCAGATTTTCTAGCGCAAAACAAAAACTGAGTAATGAGATGAAATTTGTTAGTTAAGGCTATTTTTGCACCTTCAGTTCTTTTCAAACCTTGTAATGTTCAACTCTAAAGTTCTGAATATAACAGGGCTGGCAAAAAAATAGTTTTTAAAGATAAATCCATGGTCTATTGTTTTAAAATGTGTGATTTGTTAACTGCACACAGAGAGTGACCTGCACTGCTAGAATTTACTCTGCTGTCTATTCATATTATATGCTTGTCAATTTTAAACTTACTGTGACAAGGTTTGTTTCTTCATCAGAACAGATTTGAAGAAATTTAGCATTACATACTCTGCAGTGAATGGGTGCCATCAGAAGGAGAATCCAAATTCTTATATAATCAGAGCAACATTTTTTGTAAAGTCATACACAATTCTTCAGGTGTTTTCAAATAGAAGTCTTTGTAAACTCTGTAGAAACATATATCTATCTTTCGGCCGACTCAATGTACAGAGAGCGAGCGCTGCAGAGGATTTTCTAAAAAACCTTGTAATGTTCAACTCTAAAGTTCTGAATATAACAGGGCTGGCAAAAAAATAGTTTTTAAAGATAAATCCATGGTCTATTGTTTTAAAATGTGTGATTTGTTAACTGCACACAGAGAGTGACCTGCACTGCTAGAATTTACTCTGCTGTCTATTCATATTATATGCTTGTCAATTTTAAACTTACTGTGACAAGGTTTGTTTCTTCATCAGAACAGATTTGAAGAAATTTAGCATTACATACTCTGCAGTGAATGGGTGCCATCAGAAGGAGAATCCAAACAGCTGATAAAAACAACACAATAATCCACAAGTAACCCACACGACTAACATCTTGTGAAGTTGCATGTTTGTAAGAAACAAAGCAGTACCTGTTGTTCTCTCACATCAAAATCCACCCTCATATTTGCTTAGAACTGACCTAGACCGTTTTCACTTGTAAACTCAGCTTGATCTGTGCATATTTCTCTGCTGATTATGGATAGAGGACTTGCATTTTAACTGGAAGCCACAGTTTAAAGATAAAAAAAACCCTTAATGATTACAAATCAGCAGTTTTTCACTTCACAAGACAATAACTGATAGACTGGAGTGGTGTTGATTAATGTGTTGTTTTTATCAGCTGTTTGGACTCTCATTCTGACGGCACCCATTCACTGCAGAGAATCCATTGTTGAGCAAGTAATGTAATGCTACATTAATCCAAATCTGATAAAGAAAGAAACTAGTGCAGTTTTGGCAAATGTTCATTTTTGGGCGAAATATTCCTTTAAGTTAAGCAACTATAAGTAACTTTTTACTCTATGCAAATCTGCAACCATATTTTTAAGTTTAGGGAGCAAAAGTTTAAGAATCTGCCATTTAACAGGCACAAATTGCACCTCTGACAATGGGCTTTCAATTCTGAGTGATCGAGTGGCATTATCTGAACACAATTTATGATAAGCATATTCAAAGAATGTGTTCTGCCTCAAAATAACACCCAGCAAAGGTTATCATCCTGAAATAGTCCAGCAGTTGTTAAACATCAATGAACTTTCTTTTCATGTAGCTGAAGTTAAATTTGTTGATATGAATCTAAAACATTCTCTTCCATAACAGGACTGAGAGCTCAAGTGTACCATAATAAACCTTTGACCTATTATATTGCTTAACAGTTTTTGTTTACTGAAATTCTAAAAAAATTGTTATCCAAGACCAATTTTAATCAAATCTTAATTTATTGGGATACCAGTGGTACTTTTCATTCTAAAGAACCACAACAAAACCTAATAGAACATTTGATATTCTCTTTATATATATATATATATATATATATATATATATATATAATGTTCTTATATAATC